CCAAAAATAGGCATTTCCGAATTAATCCGTGAAACGAAGAACAAACCAACTTTGAAGCTCAAACAGACGAATGCTAAGGCAACTGTAGGTTTATCTTTTCATTCGATTGATGGCCAATTAGCCTCTGCCTAATTTAATTTAAATCGATCTAGTCTTGAGAGCATTGTTGTCCTAATTTATTGCTTGTGTGCAGCAAATTGCATAAGTTGCATAATCAGTGGTACCGACTCCAACGCTCGACCCTCTTTTACCCAGTTTGCTCATCACTTGGTCTGGATAGTCCACCAAATGATCGTAAAGTGCCAGATTATATTCCCTGACGGAGTAGAGAGAAACGCTTTGTCGACTCAACTGTCTTCTGGGCAAAAGTAGTTTGTACCCAAACAAATGTTGCCAACGCTCACTCTGCCAGCTGCCTCTTAGAGACGCGCATTGAAGCATGCCAACCGATGGGAGGCTAGCGCTATGCCGACTAGAGTAGGCGCCCTGGTGAAAAAGAAATGAGGATATACGATGCTGTAGCTTATCTCATTAAAGCGGCAGCCAACGCACTGCCAGCCTCACATTTCGCATTCTAATCCTCTTCCGCTAATCCTCCATTGCCGTAGGCGTCATATTACTACATACAGGCATTGGTTTTTTAAAAAGGGAAAAAAAGTATTCATTCCCTCTCCCGACATGCAAGTGTAGCCTGCCACGAAAGCCATACGAGGATCAAAGGGACTCTGCCCAATGCCCTAATGGGCAGAGGTTGGAACTCACTCTTGCAACGAGAAAGCAGACGAGTCACTCAAGTCGCGTCATTTCCTTCCTCTCAGACCGGCTTCAAAAGTATTCTATAATGCTTTCGCACAAGTTCACACAGCACGACATGCGACCTGGTGTGCTCATGTGGTTGTGTACAGGGTGGGCTGATTCCGAGGGGAACACCTCCCATGCGAGGGTGACAGTCAATTGACATTCCGTCAACGCATCCAGTTTATTCGGTACAATTAGACGAGAATAAAAGGTCGAACAGAAGGTGTCTAGTTGCCTAGACGTGTCGAGCCTAAATGTATATCTTTCAGGCTGGCACGAGGCCTTTATGGCCGGATGTTACTGCATTGAGAGATCCCGTTACAGACCCTGTCTGTTAATCTGTTGTCTACATGGAAGTGTTAACGAAGCCAAGCAAAAAAAGTTGTTGCGGTGTCGCCAGTAGCAAGCGAGTTCGTATTTGGGTTGACATCCATTTGTTTTTATCATTTGACATCCGGTAGTAAAGCCAGGTTTCTTGAAACGCATAGAGATGCGGGCTCCAGTTTCCTCAAGTTCAAGTAAATTTATTTGTAAAACCGAGACCCCCATAGATCGAATGAGTTGCTAAATAGCCGGTGTTCGAACTTCCCAAAGAAGTGGACAAGAATACCTATTGAAAGCAAGTCTAACTGAAATGCAACG